CAATGAAACCGTCACACGCTGCCCCAATGTTGCTCTGCGGTATTTTGGCCCATTCCCGGCGAAGCGCTTGCTTGAGGTGCTCGACACTCTGGTATTTTTTAGTGCCAACCTTGCTTTCCAAAATACTTTAGACACAATAGTCCAACGGATTTGTTTCCAGAGATTTTGGTGGCCAATGTGCGCTGGAAATGAAGCGAGGAATCTAATTTTGTAACCATTCTTGGGTGGCGCGGGCTGAGTGCGATGGTGCTGAGTCCTGTTGGAATGTCCGAGGTCTGTGCCCAAAATGTTTGCGTGTCCAAGGCTTAATTACACCCTCTAGCATATTTTCCCGATAATAGTCGGCATTAATTCTGATGCCACGGTCGATTAATACGAGCAGAGAGCGACCATCGGCTGTTATGGCGGCCCACACCATCACCATGGCGCTTGAGTACTGGTGCCTTCTTGGCAAGTAAACACATACTGCTGGACAACAAATGTTTTCTCATTGGAGAAAACCAAATTCGGCAATTCACCACTTTCGGCCAAGCGAAGCTACTCTTTAGCTCTTTTGAGTCCATTTTCTTTCTGTTGCGGTGTAAGTTCTTGCACTTTTTGGAATTCCAATGGAATTTCGGGGTAAGCTCACTTTTCACTATTTGCCGAATGGAATATTGTGATATGTTCAGTTCACGAACCATCTTTCGGCCACTGCAACACGGATCTCGATCAAGTCGCTTCTTTACTTTTCGAACCATTTCTGCTGATGTTGCTGTTTTCTTCCGTCCACTTCCTTAACATATGTCGGGCTACGATACCAGTATCACGGTAACGAGCGATGGTACGAAGCACAAAAGATTTATTCACATTTAAATGCTGGAGCGCTCTAACGATAGCCTTATTTTCTGGAAAATTCTCACCAAAATGCTTTTGTACGCTTGTAAACAATATAATGGGCGGTCACTGGAATAATTTTAACAGCTGTCGGACGAAGGTGGCTGCAGTTTTTTCATCTCACCCTGTATAGACAGACGCAAATGCGTAAATCGACACAGAATATGATTCTATGCAGATCATCAAAACGAACTATGTGTGGGTCTATCTCGATTCCTTATCCATGTTACAAACAAATGCACAAAGACATAACACCATGACCACAGTGTGGTATAGGGTGCGAAAATGCATATTTTCGAAAATCTTAATATTCCCACCCATATTAAGTTCTATGAGAACATCAAATATATCGGTTCATTTTTTTCGGGATATTATTGTAAAAACTGCAACATCAAATTCTGTGTAAACCTTATGGCCATAGAGGGCATTAATCATTGAAATGGCGGATATAGACCAGATGTCTCTTTTAACGAAATCCTTTTCAGTAGGTTTGAAGTCCATCTTGCGGTACGGTCCGTTTTTGCTATGTCTGGTTGGTTGCTGGTGCTTTTGAATTCATTCTTTTCCGGTCCCATCCCGTCATAGTAAAAGTGTATGTATTTTTTTATACAGCCAGTCTGGTCTGTTGCCCATGTACCATAGTTACTAATACTTGATTGAACTTTCACTATTTTTTATTTTAATATTTAGGACAAAGCACATTCGACATTCGAATTTTTCTTAAAGTATTTCCTCAATATGTTCTAATTTTCTTTCTGGGTATTCATTTCATGCCCTTTGATGCCTTACAAGCATCTGCACAGTTGTTCAAACTTTGACTTTATCTTTTGCAAATATCTTCATCAACACAACAAGAATCATGAAAATAAATCGATTTGCATCAACATCAAATTCGATACAGATTATTTCAGAATTTCAAAGACTAGACAAAATGCAAAACCCCCTAAAAGTGCGTGTTTACAAAAGAGTGTGAGCATTAGCGTCAACAACAAGTGGGGTGAAATGATTCACTCCCGTCTACCACGTCAAGACCATCCACTCACACACACCCACTGTGTGTGAAACGAATTTTGCAAATATGCCTACAAACACATCTACAAGTGTGATGGTGTGTGTGTGCCCTTCTCTTGTATTTCCACAGAAAAGAAGTCATATGAATTATTTATTAAAATGAACCCGTAAAAGGAGTTTCTTTAGATTAGAATTCATTCCGACTCTCACGACCACATAAAATTTCATATCTTGTAGCATAAAAATGCAAAAAAAAAAGACACGCTCAGGCCGCAGCAGAAGGCAATGAAAACTACAACAACCAGGAACAACCATTTTGCAAATATGAATTCATTTTGAAGATGTGTATGCCAGGTTGTCTGTCTGCCTGGATCTGCCTGCCTGCCTATTTCACATCCTTCATGTGAATATGTAAGTGTGTGTGTAGTATGTGCAAGGGGATTTTCATGGAAAAAAATGCTTGATTTGTTAGAAAATTCATTCACTCATTCAACGAACCAAGCAACCATTCAAACCAACAGTCATACAGAAATGCACAGCCATAACAACACAACACGGGGATGTTGGCCCCAATACGGTTCGGTTTGGTTTGCGGCAAACGGTTTATGGGCCTCTTGTTCGGCTGTCATTTATTGCCGCCGTAACACTTCAGAGTGGCTCACATTTATGATCTTCGCCAAACTTATCGTAATGAAAATTTCTACTGCACTGGGCCATTGAATATTTTTTGGGGCTTGTTTTGTTTTGTTGTGCGAAATTACTTTTCTCCCCGAATATTCCCTAAATTGACTCAAACACACATCCATACAAACATATTACAATTTGCAAATTGTTTCAAGTAACTGCATGTTGATATGTCGAGATACATAAATTATTAAAATCCAAATATTGTCAACGGTAAGTGACGAAGCTTGTTAACAATAATCGCTGAGCTGTTTTGTGCGTTTAAAGCAATTCGGTAATAGGTTCTCGTAAGCGTAAAAATGATGAGCAGAGTATTATGTGGCCATTAGAAACGTATTATGTTCAGCTTGCCGCATTGTTTTATTAAATTACAACTTGCACTGGTATTTCGATCGCTCAGAACTTCAATGATATCATGCTGCAGGAAAGTTGTTTAAATCGGGAAGAAGTATAAAAACAAATATTATTTATTGCAAATATAACAAATTAGAAAATCGTTATTTTTATATCCTCCACCTTGGAAAGGAGTGCATATTTTGTTTTGTCATTCCTGTAACTCATCGAAATAGTCAATTTAGACCCAACGTTGTTATATATTCTAAGTCGAATTTAGCCATCCGCCCTCTGTCTATCCGTCTGTTGTAATTGCGCTAGAGTTCAAATGGCATGTGATAGGAAGGTAATAGAGTTTGTTTTTGGCTGTAGTCAGGTTAATTTCGAAAAAGAACTGTATGGGTGAACGTTTTCGTATAGCCTCCCTAAAATTGTAACTCCCCATAGTCGGTATTTTGACGATTTTAGCCACACTTTCTAACGGAATAGATTAAAATACGGTATTTAGAGTCCGCGTTTTTCTATAGCCCCCATATAAGGATACTTCCCAATATTCGGTATGTTGATCATTTGGGCCAGATTTTCTAACGGAATTACTTAAAATTCAGTATTTGGATTTCCTAATAGTATATTGAACAATTTACATATAAGACTGCGTTATAGCCCCTATCCTCCCGATATTCGGTATTTTGATGATTGTAGCCAACTTTTTTTACAGAATTCTTTGAAATTTGGATTGGATAGTCCTAATAATAGAAGTGACGCATACCTCTCGAATAAAGGAATTTCGGCATTTGCAGACATATTTTTACATGAGTTACTTTCCAAATGGTGGAGGAAGGAGTACGCTCCGGCCGAACTTAAATAATTCTTTAGTTTTTATTTTTTCCGGTGTGAAATTTTCGAGTTTTCTTTCAATTTTCGATTTATGCTCTCATTTTTGAGATAGCCACTATTCAGTAATAAAGGAAACTTAAGATGAAACACTTTGTGTGTGTTTGTTCTAAATATTAAGCACAATGCCAGAAGTGCGGATATGGATCAAATTTAAAAATTAATTAATTATGCATTAAAACACTCTTTATAACATTGTTTGCGGTTTTATGACCGAATTGTTTATGTTCTATGTTAAAAGTGTTTTCGTCGGATTGATTCGATCAGTGGTTTTGTGGAAAAAATAAAATTAATTTATTTCATATTCTACTCAACGTTTTGTTGGTCTTCTTCTAATTTCGTTAAGTGTTTTTTAATTCCAAATAATTAAAATTTTAATTTAGTATATATAAGAAAAATATTGCTGCAGAACAGGATTTAAATTTAGATTTTGGATTGACCAACGTTGGGTACTGATATTACAACTCTCTTCTCGTTATATGTGTATTACTTCTCAAAACATTGACTGTTTGAAATAGGCACCAGAAACCATGAGCTAAGTTTTCGTAGCATAACAGTTCTCATTTAAGTGGTAGTTTACAGAAGATTATTTTTTAAATTTTCTAGTTCCTTCCAAATGGTGGAGGATATTTAAAGTTCGGACCGGCCGAAGTTAGCTGCTTTTTTACTTGTATTATGTTGGCCCCTATGGCAAGGTACAAAGTGAGAAGTCCGATAGAAGTTAAGAAACATAATACGATTTTCAACGTTTGTACATTGAGTGTTATTTTAGCCACGACAGACAGGCAGACGGATGAATATCGCTAGATCTAATTGAAATGTTCTGGAAAGGATTTCCTAACTCCATTGTGGTTAATTTTAGTCGTATCTTATGATACACTCACTCTGTTTCCGAATGGCATCAATTGGGCCAATTTTTCTTAGAAAGATTTTCTACTTTTGTGGCGGCTACACCAAATAATGTACAAATAACGTTGGTTCATTTAAAGCGTGTGATTAAATCCGTATTATCCATAGAATCAAAACGGTGAATTGGGCTTAACTAGATTGCTCCTTTTTTTAATTTTTGGCTACGTTTTATTTTATGCAAAATTGTGCTAGTTACAATGTAATGTTCTAGTAGTTATCGATTTCACTTCACAGTCTCCTGGTCTGTCTTAATATATTCCAGGTAGACATCATGAGCGGGATTGCGCACAGTTTCACTTCACAGTCTCCTGGTCTGTTTTAATATATTCCAGGTAGACATCATGAGCGGGATTGCGCACAGTTTGTTCGGCTGTTCGAAAAAAATAGTAAAAAATATTTTCCTATGAAAAGATATGCAAATATGAAATGGAAATCAACACCTACTCTTATACACGTTGTAGCCCTTCTCATCGGCATGGTAGTAAGTTGTTTGGAACGTCCGGGGAGATCCGTCAACGGGTACAGTGAAATAACCATCCTGTACCGGCAGCAACTCACCACCAACCTCCTTTAATTCGATGCGTTGATAGTTGACATGGCCATTGCTCATTACCAATCTGCAAAATAGACCAATTAAGAGGAGACGATGATTTAAGAAGTCAATTCAATGGACCCTACTTGATTTCTTCCGTTCCATTTGCAAATGTGTTATGGTAGTTTTCTAAAACATGTACGGTCTCGACAGGATCCTGGTCCTCTTCCGGTAAAGGTGGCTCTGCATCAGTGTCCAGTTCATCGTGTTGACTCGGCTTATTCCCACTTGTAACAAAATCCCCTTCCAAGTCCTCATCATCATCATCCAAAACATCAACAATGTCATCATCCTCCAGGTCCGTCGGCCACGCTACCATTTGGTATTCATAGATAGGCTCAGTATCGCCCATTATCATATCTCCCTGTGTGTAATAATGTAGGAATTCCAAATCAAACTACTTCCAAAATATCAATAAATGTTATCAAAACAACTAGGAAAACAGTTTGAAAACAAAAGAAAATGAATCTAAGGAAAAACTTTATTTCCCAGATGTTGTTTTCCAAACAATGCACAAACAAAGTGATACCGATGATGGAGCAGTACCTCTTCGAGGGGCTTTGCCCATGCCAGGGACATGACCTGGCATATCCCTATGAATATTAACAGCACTTGGATTTTGGAGAATAATCCCATCTTCATCATCATTTTCTGTTGTTGTTGTTGTTGTTGTTGTTTTCGTTCTCGTCGTCGTCCTCTGTTTGTGGTATGAAAATGCTGGATGTTGGATGTGGTATTCCGAAAAAACGTCCATAGCTTGTGATTGCACAGGTATTTATATGCATTCGAACAACAATAACAAACAAGGGCAATACTTGTTCCCATCTCCTTCTCGGCAAGTGCTTTGGCGCGTCGCTCTCCGCCCTGTGCGATGAGTATTAACTTGTTTGTCTCTGTGCAAGGTTCTTTGTTTTTTTTTTGTTAGCGGCTTACAAGTTCTTTGTTTATGACTCAGAGCAGAAGCGACGGACGCCACAGAGCGACACCGTATTCCCTTCAAATGTTTATTGTAGGTGGATATTATTGGACTCTAATCAACAGTGGGGGGAAAATTGTGAAACAGTATTTTAGGGAAATTGTATAAATCATTAATCGTTTAAATTTAATTGGCGTTTACATATGACGAGCTAATGCTTTACCAATTATCTGTTCTTATGTAAAAATCAAATTCTTCAGGCTACATATAAAAATACAGTCTGAAAGTACATAATAAATTTCAATCATAGAATTTTGGTACGGTTCAAAAAGATTTGGTGCTAGGACACAGCAATTATTGCACTCGATTTTTATACTTCTGCCGCAGGCAAGGACCAATCTGTCCTAGAGTCCAGAGCTTTTTATACCCTCCCCCAGGGAATAACTTCAATTATATAGACCCTACTCTCAGATTCCCAATTCAAATTTCAAGTTGTCTTTGGCCTGTCATATAATACGAAGTGATGCAAAATATAGTACATTTTTGTACTTTTTGTACACTTATAGTGCGAATTTCAAAAAAATCCTCTATTATATTCATCATACGCTCCATCAGTGGCCTCATTCCAAATTAAAGAGGTCTTCAACTACAAAGGGTACCATACTTAGTATCTTTTTGTACTTTTCGTACCGTTCTAGTATGAATTTCAAAAAATTCAGCTTTATCTGACGCCTTCGGACCAAGAGTGACACTCATCCACAATTTCAAGATTCTAGCTCTAGCCGTTTCGTATGGGCGTTGATGAATCTTTAAATGTGCCAGTCAGTCATTCAGTCAATTACTAAATTAATTTATTAATTATACCATTTATATACCTGCCCGACGAGTAATTATAGATGTTGAGGACGAAATAATAAATATTCCCTCCAAATTATGGCGGAGGCTGTTTCAAATGTCAAATGGTTCATATCTCCAACTATTAATCAATGTTGTAAAGCCATCAAAAAAGCGATATAATTCCCTAAAACAGCATTGTCTTCTTTTCCATTTTTTTTTTATTTTTAATATTTTTCAGATTTTTTGTTATTTATTGTATAATTTTGAAAATCGAATTTTTTCTGTCTGCCTCTTTTATTCATCAACTTAATATCCAAAATTTACTGACATAGCGTAATATATCTTACTAAATTCCTCATAATCAGACTCATGAGTGGTCAAATTGGCCTTTTCATAATTTTTTAAATGATTTTCCCCCCACTGTGTTTATTATTCTGGCTGACCCAAATTCGCCAGAAATAACAAAAAAAAAATAAAGTTCTTCATTCTTTCTTCGTTTTGGGCCAATGACGATGACGATGATGACGCTCACTGACGTTATTTGTTTTTGGTTTTGGGATTTTCTTATTCTTGTTTTCGGTCCTTGTTTATCAGACATTATTACTTTGATTCCTTTGTTATGGATTTCTAAAGAATTTTGTTTTTCAAAAATACACAAGAAAAATATTTGTTAGCACTCGGACGGGGGCAGAGGTAATGTTCCACATTGGGACAGCAGCTGCATAGTGGTCTGGCCTTACTAACCAGAAGATACAACTGGTATTACCGTTCTGACAAACCGATGCTGATGATGGTGGCTCCGGGGGCCATACGAAGACAACACTTAAACTTTTATTATTCAATCACCAAACACATGCGACAATCAAATTCAATCAAGAAGAGATTTCAAAGCATTGCCCACCATCCTCCGCGTTCATTGGTCCCAACACCTCAATCGAACTCATTTGTGCCGGCATAAAACAATAATCATAAAAACTATCATAAAATTCCCCAATTCATTTGCATTTCATATCCTTCGTTCGAGACTACAGATGATGTGGGATATGGGAAGGCTCTATATAAGGGAATTGCTTATCGGTTGGCAGGAGGAGTATTCACCGGAATCGTAACATACCAGGAAAACTGAAGTAAAATGCAGCTCAGATACAAGAATTTCGGAATTCTGCTGGTGTGTTTGGCAGTCGTTTGTGAGGGCACGCCAACCGAAAGTCAGAATCGAGAGAAGAGACAAATGACGATGACATCAGCCATACTTAATGATCAGACACCGGTTCCGACTCAAACACAGCCGTTGCAGGGTTTGCCCATAATTGGAGCATTGATTCCAGCCAATTTGCTTGGAAATTTGGGCAGTACCCTGCAATCATTGATTCCCCTGAATTTGCTGGGCGGAGGGGGAGGAGGAGGAAATGCTGGTGGCTTAGGCGGTCTGGGCAATCTTGGTGGTTTGGGCAACCTAAATTTGGGTGGATTATTACCAGGTTTGGGACTACCACAAACTCAGCAAAACCAGTGTCCCATAGGACAGGTGTCGCGATGCCGCTGTGAAGGAGTTATACCCCTGAATCAAAAGGCACAGGACACATTGGAAATCCTGCAGCAGAAAGTTTCGTTGAATGTAAATGGTGAAAAGGAAGTGAGGTATGTATGAGAAAGAGGTTTAGTTTTTTCTTGGTTACTATATCTGCATAGATCGCATTGAGAACTAACGGAAAAATCCCAGTGGCAATCCAGTGTTTAACAATTTTCGACGATCGTGCGGGTTTGATGCATTGACTAATTATTATCAGCAACAGAGTAACATTGCTAATGAAAATCAGATAGAATCGAAACGCTTGAGGGTGAAATTTAAGTTTTAAATGGGAACGCAATTTGGAAGGACATATCTTCCACTCTAGCATCCCTGCTAAAACTTGGGAGCTGAATGAGGTGAATTGCCCATTAAAATGTGATGTAAACAAACTACCTTCTATTGTTTGGAACCTCCATCAAGTAAAAACCAGTAAGGAAAAGTCGGGCGGGGCCGACTGTATAATACCCTACATCACTATGCATATTTAGTAGAGCTCCCATAACAAAAGAATTTGCATCGGGAATCTTCAAAGTAGATTATAGCACCTATCATCCTTTGGCTTTAGAGCACTTATAATTTGATATCAGAGAAGGCTAATATATGGAAGGCATATCAAGTTCTGAATCGATTTTCACCAGATTTGACGGAAGCATTTTTATCTTTTGTACCAAATAACATTACTTTAGAGTGCATGACATCACTTCGAGAAGGATTATATAAAAATATATATATCGGAGCTGAGTTCCAACAAATGGAAACGTACGTCCCGAAATTCACTCCATTTGGATTGATATTAGCCATTATTGGCACAATACACATGAAATCGGATCAGGGATATATATGAGAGCAATATCCAAATCTAAGCCGATCTCGATAACATTTGGCAAAGGTATTTCCGAACTCTATAAGATATCTGGAACCAAATGTCATTGTTGCGGATTGCATATTATGAATGTGAGGGACCTTAACAACAAACCGGATGAAACATATATATGGAGCTATAGCTCCATATACTTTACTAAATTTCATGTACTTGCTCCTAGACTGAATCCGATCAGATGTGCCAAAATTCAGGTCATTCGGACTGATATTGGATATTTGGTGCATAATTAATCCGAAATCGGTTGAAGATATATATGGGAGATGTATCTAAATTTGAACCGATTCTCGCCAATTTCAATAGGGATCGTCCTTGGGCCAAACAAATATTGTTTGGAAAAATTAATCCTAATCGGATACTAAATGCAACCTGCAATATTTTTATTGTTATAAATGCAACAAAAATACATGGACAGTCGAACGGACAGACGGAATGACATGCATAAATCGACAAATGCACAAAGACATAATAACCTGGTGTAGGGTATAAAAATCAATTAGGTACTTTAGAGTAGGGTATGAATAAATATGTCATAAGTATTATATAAGTATTACTTTTTTTGAGATAGTTGTCTAGCCATTACGACCCTATAATACCAAATAGAAGCTAATGCAGTTGAAAACTGTGACAAGAACCGTCGATTTACAAAGTATAGGGGGTTGCCTTTCTGTCGAAACTGTTTCCACACGGGAACCTCCATTAAACATTCCCCTCGAAAATGTTCAATCCTATCCATTTAGATCCGAAAATATCAAAGTTCAACCCATTCGGCTGGGAAATGTGAATAGGACATTTAAAGCGTCTAGCATCGGCCAGCATCATTAGATGACGCTTATGTCTAGAACCATGGTTCTCCATTAAACACTTCCTACAGAGAGTGATTTCCATAACAAAACTCATCCGATTGCATATTGTGATGTAATCGTTTAAATTACCGCAAATCAGGTAAACTTATACCATTTTTAATACCAAGCAACCTGGGAGTAATATCGGTATTTATACAGACTGATGAGTGATTCGAAGGGTTGCGTGAGGTAAAATGGTGGAATTAAAATATCTCCTTATTCTAACGAACCCTATTGAATCTATTGGTAAACCTTGCTTGTAAATAAGAGCACCGAACACCGTTGGAAGAACTAACGCTTTCGAAGACTGTTGTTTATAGGATCTATGAAAACTTATAACTTTCCAATTTGTCGGGTATTTCTAGACCATTCGATTACGATATTCATATCTTTCCATCACATCTCCCAACCTGTTACACTATAATTAATAACTTTCAAATCGCACGTTTCATGTTCTTTGTAGTGCTCGTCTGAACAATGGCCTATTGATGTATCAACGATCGGGCAATGAAGTTGTGCCCCCGGCTACAGTAGAATCTGCCGTTACCCAGGGCTACTTTACACTCAAATTAAACACATCAAAATATCTAACGATCTACTACACGGTGACCAATGGGGACTATACCGTAAAGGGTAAGGATCCTAGCTAATCGTACCTCCGCAGTCCTTATAGAAAAAAAAATAACTAACAAATAGCTTCAATTTAACAAACATCTGTAGATAAATAAGTCATTGCACTAATTACTTTTCTCCTGTTTCCGTTTTTTCCCCGTCTCTCTCTCTCTCTCTCTCTCTCTCTCTCTCTTTCTCGTCTCCATGCATCTTTAAACCCAATTAGCTGATGTTACAAATGAACCACCTAAAAACGATTTGGACGAATCGCCACAGCCACTCATCTTCTAAGTCCAACAAAAAGCCAAGCCGAAACGCAGTTCCATACAAAAGACACACGGCGAAGAAGCTGGAACACGAAGTTGTAGTCTGACCCCCTCCTTGGAACTATTGGAGTATAAAAACCATCTTCTGATTTATGTACATATACTGACAAAAGTCACACATACACATCCACATTTCCTAGAACGAATGAATAAAATGTATTTTAGTTGAATGCGTACGAATTGTGCGATAGGTCGTCTTTACATGGTTGCCATTGCGTTGTAATGCCAACAAATACAACTAACAAATTACGTAAAGTTGTTTCCTTATTCGAGTAGAATAAACAGAAGCATAATTTCTTTGCTTTTTAGATATTTGGGAATTATGTTGTAATGTTTGCTGATTCTACGCGTTTTTACGAAAATGAAAAATAGCCAAATTGGCTTTAGACTTGAATGTGAATAGACTTCTTCCGTTCTGCAGCCAACGAAGATGACACGGAGAGAACTTTTGTAATTTGTTTGCTGTTTTTGTTATTAGAGTCACTGGCAAATGTTGCCATTCATGTGTACGAGTACAAATATTATTCCTTATTCATATATTAATGCCTGTAGTTTTGTTAGACGGATATTAGACGGGGGCGACAAGGACAAATTAGCAATGGGAAGTTTTAAAGTGTGACAAAATAAGCTCCCTTCGGAAATGGAATGAGTTTAGTTTTATACCCTACACCACGAAGTAGTTAGGGTATTTTGTCTGTGTGCATTTAATTGTAATATGGAGAAGGAAGCGAGATAGACCCATAGTTACCTTTGAGGACCTTCATAGAATTAAAATGCAGCTCGCATTTATTTATTTTATCCGATTGAGAGGAATTATTTTAAAAAAGATTTGTTTGGCCCAAGTATGTTTTAGATATATCTTCCATACAGGGTGAGATGAAAAAACTCCAACCAACTTCAGACTGCTGTCATTTCTAAGCCACTCGCCCGACAACTGTTAAAATTATTCTAGTGACAGCTTATTATATTGTTTACAAGCGTACAGAATTTTCCAGAAAAAGGTGAAGTGAAAAATTTATTTATTAATGTTTGATATCTTTATATTTCAAGTGGCTATCGTTAGAGCACTCCAGCATTTAAAACTGATTAAATCTTTTGTGTCTCGTACCATCGTTACCGTTGATACTGGTAGCGTAGCCCGACGTCAAAGAAGTGGACGGAAGAAAACAGCAACATCAACATCATCAACAAAGAGTTGCTTCGCTTGGCCGAAAGTGATAAACTGCCGAATTTCTTTTTCTCCAATGAGAAAACATTCGTTGTCCAGCAGTTTGTAAACAAACAAAATGATCGTGTTTACTTGCCAAAGAGATCTGCTGAAATGTTGCACCTTTGGTTGGCCACCAGAACTCAAGCGCCGGCCAGGGTGATGGTGTGGGCGCCATAACAGCCGATGGTCGCTCGACCGTGGCATCACAATAAATGCAGAATATTATCGCGAATATATTCTGGAGGGTGCATGAAAGCCTTGAGCACGCAAAAATTTTGGCGCAGACCTTGGACATTCCAACAGGACTCAGCACCATCGCACTCAGCACGCGCCACCCAAGAATGGTTACAAAATGAGGTTCCTCACTTCATTTCCAGCGCACAATGACCACAAAAATCTCCGGATACCAATCCGTTGGACTAAATGCCAAAGTGTCGATCACCTCAAGCAAGCGCTTCACCGGCAATGGGCCAAAATACCGCAGAGCAACATTTGGGCAGCGTGTGACGGCTTTATTGACCGTCTGAAGGCCATAATTCGTGACAAAGGTGACCAATTCGAACAAATCTAAACTTATTATAAAATTTGATGGTATTTCCGACATTTTTAGCTTTCATTCAATTATGGCGTTTGACTTTGTTGCAGTTTCTTTTTATCTCACCCTGTATATATTTCATTCGATTTGGGGCTTTAAGTCCCTCATATGCGTTACATGCTCTCCACGGAGTCGTATTATGCACTCTACAGCAATGTTATTTGGTTCATAGTTGATATGATCTACTTCACGTAAATTCCCAATGTAAACTTATTTTGATACGGGAGTTCTACTAAATACACATAGCGGTTTAGGGTATCATATAGTCAGTTCGGCCCGACTTTGGACCTTTCCTTACTGATATAATAATCGCGAGTTTTCTATTTATCAAATACCGGAAGAATTGGCATCTATTGACGAAGAGTAACATTTTGTTAATGTATGTAGTTTTTTTTTACGCAGACGACGTTCCATTCCATTGTATCGTTAACGACGATTGTAAATATTTGTCTACAATGAAAGAGCACTGCAAACACACACATGCACATGTAAACGCACACACATTCATACACTCACTCACAACTAAGAGTATATTTTCGTTAGTTTATTTAGATCTTGTGCAACATCTGCACAATGTTTGTATGTTTGTTCATTCATTCGTTGAAGTCAAGCCGGAGAACCTTGCTGTGTGTCCTTGCTAATGCAGCAATCCATGCAACTGCAGCAGCAGCAACAACAACAACAAGAGTGAAAACATACTTTATGCAGCTACACATCCCAGCAGCTCAGCATTCATTTTCATTCGAATATTTCATCTATTCACACGGCCGGAATATCGTTGAACTACGGCAACAACAACTCATTTCGAACGCTGGCTGGCTGGCTGACTGACTGGCTGGCTGGTTGGTATTGAATTGAATTAGAGCAAAAGAGGAAGTTTGTGCTGCCTGTCTATTGGCTGTAACCGTTTAAATTTAGTTATCCAAATGTGTTGTCCTGAAGTCTACAGATGAAACCATTCTAATTTGTAGCATTTAAGAATCCTCCTATCCTAAGGATAACGATTGGGCATTCACGAGAAGCTGATTTAGGGTTCTCCTAATCACACTTGGGAATCCCGCAACATTAGGTTGCATTGCAACATAGCTTCGAACATACATACGTATTAAGTTAGTGGTTTTCTCAATTGCAGTAAGTCGTTTAGAAATTTTGTTTAAAAAAAAAACGTCACTTTACAAAATAAGTTAATGGGAGTTGTATATCCTTAGTTCCTGAGAATCTTAAGATCTTCTCAGGAACAGATTTGTGGGATAGCCGGATTTCCAATCGGAGCCCTAGCACAATCATCATCATCTATTTTTTCTGCATCAATGGTACCAAATTTAGTATAAAATGAAAAAGATGAAAATCTTTATCCCAACCATTGATATCGACTCATAAAAAATTCCAAATTCAAGCATTGTTTTTTTGTTCACAATCTTAAATGTATGAAATTCAAAAAGAAGTTAATGTTTTCCACACACGTACATACAAATACTACAAATTCCCAAAATAGCATCCTTATATTAACCCTACACGCCAACAACACCGTTTATTCCGCACTTCATCTATTGCTTTTCAGAAACGAAACAACATTTCAATATTGGCGTCGTAAATACCGCTTAAAGAAAAACTATATGAGGCTTGTGCGAAGACCTGGACCTGCACAAGATATTTTCTGTCATAGGTTGTTGTTCCCAACCTGTGAATCCGAAATTTAAAACGACTCCATTGAATAATACCGCTAAAGTTATCAAAATATCAAATATAGGGGAGTGCCATTATATGAGGGCTCGACGAATGGTCCATCCATGAACTTAAACTGCACATGTGTGTATTTTATTCTTCTATCTCAATTCGTTCGAAAGATAGCGTGATTACAACAGGCATACAGACAGAAAGGCATACGACAGACGGACATCTCAAAATCGACTTGGAAAATTACGTTGATCCCGTACATAACATGAGTGTTTCAAGAAGTTACAAAGAGAATGACAAACTTAATACACCATCCATAGAATGGTGGAGGGTATAAAAATAAGTTGTGATACCCTACAAGACTATACTTGCAAATGGGATACCCTTAGAATAGAATAGCCGAATTCCGTTGGGACACATAATTGGTCTGCTTAAAAAATAATTCAAAATGTCGAGTTGCTTTCTCTTATTTTCGATTGGTCGGTAATTCCACTACTGGAACCAAAACTCTCATAAACCCTACCTCCACTTAAAACTTACAAAATTAAAGCAGCTGTATTTGAATACACACAGAAATATAAAATTGGTCTCTCTAAAACCACAATGCATAGAATTTCGACAAAAGATTTGAATCTTCATGCATACAAAGTTCAGTTGACTCAAGAACTGAAGCCAGCTCACCATGGACAGCGAAGGGAGTTCGTTAATTGGCTATTGGAGATACAACATTTATATTTTGACGGTATTGTCAATGGGCAGAATTGTCGATTTTGGGGTGAGGAAAATCCTTGAGTAAGTAAGCACAAACAGTCAATTATGTTTTTCTAGTCTATAATTAAAGAAATGAATGTGGAGGACATTTGGTTAAACATACAACCAGAGACACAATTCTATTGCTGCATCAGTCATTTAATAGACGTGTTATTGCGCGGTTTGGAGACCAGAATTGGACACCTAGATCGTGTGATTTAACATCTTTATTTTTTTTCCTTTGGATCTTTTGAAGTTGATTTTCACGCAAATAAGCCAACGACGAGTAAAGCCTTTAAAGAGAAACTGCTATTAATGGAATGCCACAGCATTTAATAAAAACTGTCATTGAGAATTTCATCAAAAGATCGCATGTGTGCCAGCAAATCCGCGGCGGCCATCTGCACGATATCTTATATCATACATAAACGATATAACAACGTTTCAGGACATTTTTTAATATCCGTGTTTAATTTGAAA